CAAAGAGATATAGAGAAAAATTAAACATAATACACGATGACGATCTATTTACATTATCTCTTGGATGTAATAGGACAAAAACGACACACGTCTACTTTGAGAGACCCAAAGACAATACAACAAAGAAAATCACAGAGATAAAAACTTCACTAAACCTAACCACAAAAGAAAAACATTAAAGAAATTATGAAAGTCCCTCTGAGCTACTGTTTTTTTTCGTCAAATAAGCACATCGAATACTTTTTGATATATTATATGCACAAGACCTATACACAAAGAAAACTGTTCATAAAAGATAAGAGAGAAAAAGAAACTTTAATCAATTCTAGTAATATGAAAAACAAATAAACACAACAAAAAAAACAATGTTTTTTAGAAAGAGATGCTTTATGTTTACTTATAAAGAAGAAGAAAAAAGGAATCTCAATGTTACTCATTTGTTTTTTGCGATATGGAACATTAAAAACATAATACTGAATCACGTAGGAACTCTAAAAGGTATTTCAAGAAATAGATATCTTATTTGTTCGACAAAAAGTGCACTTTCGCAAACCTGTTCCAATGCAACCTTGAAGAGAAACAGAAAAAGGGAAAAGGTTGTGAATAAAAGATCAACATAAAATAATAAAGAGAAAAAAACACTGTGATGAGAAAAAAAAGTATAAAAAAGAGCTACAACAATAATAACAACCGGGGTTCAATTGATTTAACTATATACAAAAGAAAAGAAAAGTCAGTTCTATATATACATACGTATGAACAATGATTCCTGAATAATTCTGTCTGTTTATCGTATTTACATACAGTGTTATATAAAAAACACTTCTATATAAATTTGTTATGTACAACATGTATTGCCAATAGCATTAAAAACATTTTCATCATCACCATACAAATCAATTAATACGCCTAATATTGTTGGATATTGATGTTTTAATGCCCATTCCACTAATGACATTGATTTTTTTAATTCAACATAACGCCAGTTACAATTATATTTTAATAATAATATAACAATATGTCCATGATTACATTCAAGAGCCAATTCTAATGGTATTTTGTTTTCAAATCCACAATGATCAACCGGATAACCACGATTTAATAAATATTCAACAATATCATATCGATTATATAGTATCGCTGTATTTAATGCCGAATCACGGTTTACTGTTATACAATACGGATTATGGCCTAAGTGTAATAATAAATCGACAATATTTCCTCTACCATGTTCAATTGCTACATAAAGTGGTGTATGACCATTATCATCAATTAAACATTGTTCACCGTGACGTAAGCGGCTGTGTAATCTTAATATTGTTTGAATATCACCAATTTGAACAGCATGATGCAATTCATGGACAGGTGGAGGAGACGAATTAACTAATGAGGATGATGAAGAACGTTCGATATGATTTGGTATATTTGTAGTTTTTACTTGTTGTTTAACATCAACACTATTACTATTGTTACTACTGGTTATTTTCACTTGTTGTTGTTGTGGACGGGTTGAATTTGTTTGTTGATGCTGATGTTGTACATATTGCTGTTGTGGTGCTTGTGAATGATACGGCTGATAATGAGAACGTTGGTTTGATGAAGTTGTCGTCGAGGCCATTGTTTCGGTCAACATTAATAACACGCACAAATACAACAACTATTTACACGAATCTAAAAGAGCTAATGTTAAAAGTAATTATTTCAGTGCTACGACAACCATATCATCTTTGACAGAAAATACGACACATCGACATGATCGATAAACCAAAAGACAAATTCTTCACTTCGAGCAGCGAAGGAGAGTCTGCGTTAGAGCTTTAATGAGAAGTTTCAACCATATCAAATATGACATTTGTCAGTTGCTAACAGTTCTAATAGTATCGTCTTAGTTATTCTCTCGGGAAAGTTTGGATAAGCTAATTATAAAAAACGGAACTAAACTTACATGTTGAACACGACAATAATTCACCGATAATAAAAAAAATAATTAAACTATCGTATAGAAGATAAAATTGAAAGAATATCTAACACTAACAATATTTTAAATATAATAATAAGTAAGAACTAAATAAAGTATACACAAATAAATGTACCTTTCCTATGCTAAAATAAAAAACATTCAATATTTAAAAATTTCATATGACACGTTTACAGGGTTTGAACACAAAAAACAAATGAAAGTCAGGAAGCATATGTTTCAACGCCATCATTTTTTTACATCTGCTGTGCGTGTGTATTCGAATGCAGGAGGCAAATGTGAATAAATGCATATAAATAAAAAAAATCAATTTCATTCTTTTCTCCGTTTTTCTTCTTCGTTTTACTTCTCATATTACTTACTATACATAGTCTCACTTACATAAGCTTTTTTATGATGATGTGGATGATGATGATGACAAAGAGATTGTAACAAGTTCCTTATTCTCTTCGTCACACAACACATTGATACAGATAATTTCAGATTAAAACGTTGACAAGAGTTTAAAGTATTCTTTATAAGAAAAAAAAAGTTCAAACAACATAATCTTTTAAATGAGATTATAGACCAAACAAAATAGACAGATTTTGTTTGATCTTTATCAAGCCCATGATTATTGGCAAAAATGAAGAGTAACGATATTCTGCATTTTACACTGAAATATGGGAAAAGGCAGTATAGAAAAGAACACGACTTCAAGAAATAGTTGTGGTATTCAACATCTAAACTACGATCTTTCTAGGGTATGAACAGAATAAAATTGTGTATAAGTGTAGTTTTAAAAGTCATTCAGAGTTACAAATAGGAAAGGAAATCTAAATACTATACCGTCATTGTTTAATGAATTAGTTAAGATTATAAACAGGCGCGCGTTCACTTAAGTGTTACGCCACGTGCTAGGCTTACGTGAAAGAGAATGAAGGTTGAAAGTCCAGAAAAGAAATGGATATTATAATGTACTAACAAACACAAATACATACAGCACCATTATCATCCTCGAATATTTTATATTAAGTGCATATATCTATACTACTAGCTACTACGTCTTTCTCTTTCAGCGTTTCTTTCTTTTTGGCAACTTTTATTGTCATGCAAAGTCATTGTCGAAGGCTTTTCTCTCTCTCTCTTTCTTCCTTTGACGATAGAGCTATTTTATAACAAACAGTGATCAATCAAGTACAATATTTTCTTTTCAGAGCGAGGCTTATTATTATTTATAAACAGTAATACGCATAGAAGTAGATAAAAATAATAACTTGTCTCTCAGGAAGATTTTCAACTACCAAGAATAAGTAGAGATTTGGGTGTTTATTATCAAAAAAATTTTTGGATTTTTCACTGCGTGTGTCGTGTCTGTTCATTCATGTCTGTTTCATTTTCAAGAGGTCTGATTTTCATTTAAATAAAGTAACTTTACTTTTCAAAATATATAAGAATACGAAGAAAAAAAACGAAAAGGAAAACGCCTTAAGATACAATTATGAAATTTTTTGAAGTTCAACATTGTCTTTGTGATATATAAATACCTGAACAAAAAAGTTTGTTTTAAAAACGAAAGAACATATCTTAATGTGAGGATCATCACTCAATAGTTAATGGAAATACATTAACGATCAAATATTGCGATCTTCTCTATGAAGAAATAGTAGAATTAAACTAATTCAATAACATCAAAAGTCAACTTACTAGTCGATATATATACGAGAAACGTTTCATTTTCGTTCCTCACTCATCATTATATTCCAAAAAGCAATTTGCTATCTGATGCAATTCAGTATAATAGGTGAAACGAAGCACACATTATTCTTTTCTGTCAGCTTATACAGCAAACGTTGCATCAGCGCTCTCATTTGTGTCTCATTGCTTAAAAAGGAAATTCTGAACCTCACATTAAATGCAAATACTTTCAGACGCAATTTGTCTACGCTACGTTAGTAAGAACAGTTTCTGTTTCTTAAGTTCCCTTTCTTCTTTTTAGGCTTTCCGTAGAAATGCTCACAAATAAAAAGTAAATATGACTGACTAATGCTTCATATTTCTAAAACTGATTGAAAATTCAACGGAGCATTTTTTCGTTTTTGTTTCAAGTTTTCAGCTATTATCATTCGCGAGTTTTCCAGAAAACTCAGTTTTTCATTGTGTCACATTACTACCGCCCTTAACTTTAATCCAGTGAAGCCAAAAATTGTACCAGAGGCACTCAAGGTAATATCACAGAGGTATTTCTGGGAATTTTTTTAAACCTTTCCTTGTCGAGTTACAACACTGAAAAACGTCTCAAAAACCAAGTTTCTCAATTATTCGAGAAACCGTATAACTTGGTAAAGAAAAGTCTAAAATAAAATTCAAAAAAAATACGTCTGCGATAGTGTCTTGAGTACCTCTAGCAAATATTTAACTTGATCGGATGAAGTTTAAGGGCGGTCGTTTAATGTGACACAATGAAAAACTCGCGAATAGGTGAAACTTGAAACAAAAACGAAAAAATGCTCCGTTGAATTTCTAATCAGTTCTAGAAATATGAAGCATTAATCATATTTAGTTTTTAGTTGACAGCATGCTCGAATAGCAAAAGATGGAAGGGATACTGTTAAGCTATTCGAGGAGACTTACTGAACTTTTGGAATTATTAATCATTCTACTGTTAAACTTACAAGTTCGTGTATTTACTACTATTACTATCACTACTATATCCTAAATTTTACGAGAAACATAAACGTGTCCGTCTCATATATTTTATCTTTACCTTTTGATATGATATTAAGTAATAGAAGTAAATGAAGTTATTTTTTTTTCTTTTGTTCTACATGTAGACTATTTTATTCAAAACGAATCAAATCATTCATCATTATTTTAATCGTAATCGTGCTTACCCGATATAAAAGCAAAGAATATCATCATTTTTTATTATTACAAATTTTGACTCATACCTTCAATATTTTTTACTTTTCGCACAACACACGAACACATAGTGAAAACCTGGTCTCCTCTTCCCTTATAAGAATTTTCGAGGGTATGAAAAAAGGATACGTACGAATTAAACGTATATTCTGTAGCGCAGCGCAACTTTTAAGGTTAAACTAACTTTATGTCCAATATGTTACATAGATGATACTATTCAAAACGACAAACTTCAATTATTTTATTCAAAACGTTTCCATTTGGTGCTGATATTTCGGCTCTTGAGTAAAATGAATCGAGTGTCAGTTACCATTTCTCGATATATATTCTCTTCTTCTATGGTTCTGAAAGCAATTATGACAAAGAATGGCATTTTTAACATGAGGATAAAAACGCCACATAAAATATCATCAGTTGCTCTCTTCCTATTAGATGGTACTATAATCTACGATCGCGGAACAGAACTATCATATAGTCTTCTATCTATACCGTTGAAAAAGAGTAAGAATAAGAAAAAAAGCATTCCACAAGGAATTATCGTTAGAATAACTGTTAATTGGGTAAAGAATGTTGTTGGTACAGCTTTCTTGCGTATGCAGATAATTTGAAAGTGAAACTTTGTTGCACATAAAAAATCAAAACTTATCTTGTAGAATTCGTAATTTAAGTGATATTTCTTCCCTCTAATAAGGACATACTTGTGTTTCGCATTGATTACAATTAGTTCTTGTCTCATCCGCTCGAACAGAATATATATATATATATATTATACTATTGATAAGTATATCTGATATGAGAAGTTCTAAGTTGTTTATTGACATATTTTAAGTAGGTGATGATTTATAACAGTCATCAATGATATGGTCATATAAAAACATTAGAGATGCAAAATTAAAACAATTTAGCATAGATCGAACTGATTCACAAGCTGTCTGTCTAGACCAACTAATAGAGTCTTAAACTCAATTATTGCTAAATCATCAACTGATAGTGCATGCCAGGCCCATCTTAAATCCAAAAAATAGTTAATTGATGTAACGAAGAAGGATTAAACAATAAACTGTTCCTTTGCGAAACAAAAATAATGTTAAGAATACATCCAAGAAAATTCGTGGGCAGCGAAAAAGAGATTTAAAATCGAGAAGAAATTCTTTTGCCATTCTTCAAATACTAATGCTTAACTACTTTACTTGGACATCTGTTAAAACTGACATAGCTTAGCAAAAATTCTATAAATAGTGAGCTTTATATTAGCTGTTAATAAAATTTAAGAAAGTAGAAATTTTTTGTGTATAATCTACCCACGAATAAAATAGATAGGGACACGTATTCTTACATGTTAAAGTGCTTTACCGTAAATGATCCGTAAAAATCTCACGCGTTTATACGATGACTACTTTTAGTTATAATAGAAAAGACGATAGACAGATACAAAATAGATACTATCCATACACACCTTTATGTATGAAAACAATTAAGCTTTATTTTTTTTTTTTAGGGAAAGACATAAGGAGTCTTTCTTCCTCTCTACCTCCCTTATCCATCATCTGTTGCAATTATATATTACAATATGAGAGTGTGTGTGCGTGTTCACCTATCAATCGATTAAAAGTTGATTTAAATAAACTATACGTGATATGTTTCAATCCAAATCTCGCATCAATAGGATAGTAGTTCAAATTTAAACTTTTTCATTCAACTGGATCTTTCATCAATAACAAACAAGTACGTTCAAGGGAACAATATCAGTTTCT